TTAACCAATGATATTTTTGCAATATCACGGGATGATCTACAAAAATCAGCCAATTACAATGAAAGCCCGCTATGCTACCCAGATATATACATCCGGGTAATACCCATATAATACTCGGGTAGATATATCCGGATAATAATACACGCAAAGTGGGATATATGTGTTATTTATTAATAATAAACCCGAACTCATTAAAGAATCTACAAGATATAAATCAAAATTTTGATTTACGTTTGACTAACCCAAACATACTACAAGAACAACCAAATTTAAACATTAAACATGGTCTCATATCACTAGGAAGCTTGTACCTATTCAACTTAAAGACATTATCAATAAATTTATATTTAAATCTTAACGTAGTAAAGTAGTTTTAAACAAAAACTTTTCCGGTTACCTTTATTTTACAGTATAATTACACGTGGTTCAATAACGGTTGTAAATTTTTGTCTTCTAAGCAAAGTAAGTTGGAAGGCAGATTCTTTTTAGATTCTTTTACACAGTGAATATTAACGTTCTTCTTAATACTAAGAATAACTTTTACAGAGAATTTTTTTAGTGAAACATTATGTTCTCAAAAAGTACTTTAAAGGGTATAAATAAGTTATCCGGGTAATTGATTTGCATCAACCAATCAGATGAATGTCCTTCCATGACCCAGATATATCGGGTAAAATTTATACCCGGGTATACCCGTCGATCACTCGGGTAACCCTCGGGTTTATCCGTCGGGTAACCCGGGTAGCATTTTTTTGATCGGGTCCAATGTCTAGCTACAAGATATAGTTAGTTAATTCTGTAAGTCTAGATTATAAATAAAATTTGTTAAAACCTTTAAAATATTTTTACATAAAATTTTATCATATATTTTCCTCATAAATATAATAAATATAAGTATTAGGTTAAAATATAAAATAAAGGCAATAAAATATGTAATAATAATATGAAAATTAACAATGTTCAACTAACCCACACATAAGGCTCCTAAGTTCATCCTTTTGCTTTTTAGTTATTTCTATAGATTCTATAATGGCTACTATATTATCAGTTTTCATCCTAAATCCTACTTTAGCTATACCAATTATATATTTTTGAACAATATTCCATGGGACAGGGGTATTACATATTTGTTTAAATGTATCCGTATCCTCATTAATTTTTGATTGATGCTTATTAGGTTTTGATTGAGATTCCTCATTAGGTAGAATTCTAATGATTAGATAAATTATAATGAGCGCAATTACAATATAGAAATATAAAATAATTAGCACAATAAAAATAATTTTATGATAGTGTGAACTATGAATTTGATCTCCAAAATTTTTCAGAAGATCGCTAAATAATTTAAAAAACTCATATTTAGATCGTCTTTCACTTTTGCGTCCAAAAAACCTAAATGTCCAATTTCGCCTCTTCTCAATATCTTGAAAAAAAGTTACTCTATCAAATTCATCAATATCTTTTCTCCAGTCTTTATTGTTATGTTTTTCTTCCTTGACTTCAAGAATATCATCATTTTCGTCGTTGCCTTTTTCTATTTTGTCACTCATATTGTTTTCATGTATATTAATTATGTATAATCGCTTCACTAAAATATAATAAATCGTTAAGGGTGCTACAACTATTTCCATAATAGCTTTTAAAAATACAAAATTTAAAATATAATAGGCCTTAGCACAAGTGTTTTTAGGATAAAGTTGTATAGGGTAATTCAGCATATATTCAATATTCCGTTCAAATAAAGATAACACTACATTGATTAACCATATACAGCCAATAATGATAATGCTTATAGCTAATATTAAATCATCATATTTAGTGATATTTTTAATATTACCGATACTAATCATAATCGAGATAACAGATGTAATGATAATATATAAAGATACTATAGTTATTAATATCATGCCGGATTTCTTTTCCTTGTCGTAAAGCTCATTAATACGTTCCAAAAACTTTATATATATTTCACATCTCTTAATTAGATTATCATCTATAAGATTATCAGGAATTTCCAATATTGTAGGCATGAATACCTTACCGGCTGTAATAGTTTTTAGGTCATTAGCAAACGAAATTATAGCATCCTTATTTGAATATAAATGGTCACTCAGGATCCTTAAAAGAGCCAAAACTCCACCACTAGCAATAATACTTGATGTTGCAATGCGAAATACGTTACTGGCAAGTCCGTTCCAAAAAACATAAAATAATACTATTCCAAAAAGCACAGCAAACGTTGCCATTGCAATATTAATTATCACTATATTTCGTCTTTTTCTTATCCGATTTTCGGTTTCTTCCCATGTCTCTTTTAATTTCATTATTATGAATTTATCTTTTTGTTTCTTTTTCACTTGTTCGGGCGTTTCGTCCTTTTTCTCTTGTCCGGACATTTCCTTCTATCTTTCTTTGTTCGGTGATTCGAAGGTTATAACTTTAAAGGCTTACTAGAAGATAGTTTTTAATCTGATATTAAGCAATAATGAATTTTTCGCCGTTTCTAAACTTTTTTTTTATAAATATATGAAATATATATGCATGTATTGTACAAATATATGAAATATATATGCATGTATTGTACAAATATGTATATATTAATAAATTAAGAAATTTTCAATACACTCCCAGTTAAGCATACCTTTATATAGAGATTGGAGTCTTTAAATTTCTTCCATCGATGCAAGAAATTTAAAAGTCTCAATATCTATATGATGATAATGCATAACTGGTAGCTTATTGAACATTTCTTAATTTATCAATTTCAATAAAAGCGTAGGATCTAAAATATTCAGTATTCAGCCACTTTGCATAGAAATAAAACGCAAAGAGTCATATATGTTGTGCTCACATTAACACTTGCGCCATACAGTATGTCAGCTGCATAATCATTTGGCCATAAATAATATATCAACATAGACTATAGCCTAATCCCTAATCCAAACTCTAACCCTAACTCAAGCCCAAAGCGAAATCTTACACAAGTATTCTGAGACAATATATACATGTCGTACCTAGTGATGTGCCATTTATATCTGTTATGATACCTGATTTTTTTTTCGCGTACAGTACGTACAGTATAGTTGTATAGTGTGTATAATTTGTAATTGAACCTAGCTGCCGCACCAATTTTGTCACGGATGATTCTTGATTTTGATTGGCTATGAGCGACGATCTCTTGA